CGAGGCTCTAATCCGCTCTCGACTCACTGCTCTATGATGGGAAATGCCTCCTTCCTTGCCTTCAGCCACTGCCTTTCCAGAGGTAAACATAGGAGCACGTGTGCAACTGAGCTTGGACCATCCTCAGAGGCTGCTCTCCATGGGAATTCTCTTCTCAGTGGAAGCTCTTCAAGGGCAGTGCAGAAGCCCAAGGAGAGAACACCCCTCGCCCGACGTCCTCACATTTGAACAGGAGACACATTTCTATTCGCAGGGTTCACAGTGCAAAAGGCTCTCCATAATAAGTGGCAGTAGTCAAGACAGTGGGCACTGGCAGAGATGCACAGAGCAGTGGGACAGGACAGAGGACCTAGATGCACACCCAGCTGATTGCTGATGACAGCACAAAAGTGGCTCAACAGAGGAAAGAGCTGGAGCTGGAGCAAGTGGAGACCTGTGGGTGAAAAATAACCCTTGACCCAGTCTCACACCTTCTGCAAAGTTAACTTGAAATGGGTCACAGATTAAATGTAAAGCATAAACTATAAAACTCTTAGAAAAAAATAGAAAATCTGCAGGATCCATGGTTAGGTGAAGAGATCTTAGACATAACACCAAAGGCACGATCCGTAAAAGGAAACATTGATAAACTGGACTTCATCAAAATTAAAGACTTTTGCTCTGGGCCAAGCCCGTGGTGCACTCGGGAGAGTGTGGCGCTGGGAGCGCAGCAGCACTCCCGCCGCGGGTTCGGATCCTATATAGGGATGGCCGGTGCGCTCACTGGCTGAGTGCTGTGAGGCCGATCTCAAAAAAAGACCAAAAAAAAAAAAGACTTTTGCTCTGAGACAGATCTTGTGAAGAGGATAAAAGGACAAGCTGCAGAGAAAATATATGCAAAGCATGTGTCCAACAGAGGATTAGTGCCTAGAGTATAGAGAGAGCTCTTGAAAGTCAACAGTGATGAAACAAACCATCTGATTAGGACACAGGCAAAGCAGATGATGTTTCACCATAGACGCACCAAAGTCAGATTTGCTCATGGAAGGATGGCGGCCACACTGTCACAGTCATGGAGACACAGCTAAAGCCACAATGGGGCTGTCTCTGCACATCGCCAGAACGGCTCACACACACAGGGCCAGCGCCCAATGCCAGCGAGGCGTGGAGACACTGGACTGCTCCCAGGTCACGGGTGGGAGTGTAACCGGTGCCTCCACTCTGGAAAAGAGCTTGGCAGTTTCTTACAAAACCAAACAGACTGTTGCCTTGTGACCTAGCAATTCCACTCCTGGGCGTTCATCCCAGAGAAATGAAGACTCAGGCTCACTCAAAATCTGCACACTCCTGCTTATAGAGCTTTCTTCATAATCAGTCAGCTGTCCTCCAGTAAGCGAAGGGTTGGCCACGCCATGGTCCGTCCACACTGTGGAAAATGGCTCAGCCACAAAGAGACATAGTCCATGGGAGATGTGACAGCATGGATGCCTCTTGAGTTTGGATGCTCAGTGGAAAAAGCCAATCTCCAAAGCGTGCACACTGTGCCATCCCCTCACGGAGCATTCTTGGAAGGACAAAATCATGGATGTGGAGCACAGCCCCATGGTGGCTGCAGTCTGGGGCTGTGGGAGAGGGACAGCATGTGGGACCCTTGTGACAGAGGCTGGTGTGTCCTGACCATGGTGGTGGTCACATGATCTGCACATGTGATCACACTGCACAGACCTGAAGTCACACACACGCAGACACATGAGCACGTGTAACGAGGCAATCTGAATCACATCAGTGATTTGTAGCAATGTCCATTTCCTGTCTTGATCCAGAAGCCTTGCGTTTGCATTCAGGATAACATAAATAAATGTAGATGTTAAAAACTTACCATCAGGCCTAGCTGGGCCGGGGCAGCCCTTCCTGACCTAAGCCTGGTGATGCTGGCCTCAGGGGCAAGGTATGGTGGATGTGAGGAGTCTGCCAGCATCCTCGGTGCCAGCCAGTGAGCCTTGGGTTGGCCTCTGCTGAGACAGAGGAGAGCAGGGCTGTTGTGCTCCCAGGAGATCCTGGAGGCCTCAGCTTATGGCTTCAGACTTTGCAGGGGGATCTAGAGCCTTCTTCTTGCCAGGATGGAAGTAAATTCTGCCCCAATATACATACCATTAGCAGGGAAATATTCACTATCCATGAACGAGACAGAAGGGTTGTGTAACTTATGTAAAAAGGACTCACGGTCACATGTGTTTAAAAGGTGGGAGGAGAGATCTCTATCTGAGCTCTCTATGGAACAGACTGGCTTTTGTCAACTGGGAATTTTAGGGGACACTCAGCAGAATGGCGTCTGGTCACAGGGGATGGAGGTTGATTGAGTGCCTTTGTGAGCAGGCTAAACCTTACCTGGGGGAAGGAAACCAATTCTTCCAATCTGATTGGCTCCTCACAGCCCTCACTGTACCGATAATTGCTACTTGCTATAAGCATGGTGCTTCACATTGTCCATCTGTCTGTCTGGATATCTACCTG